CCACATTGGTTGATCATCAATTTTTTCATTTATTTAACTTGATTTTGAAAAAACTGAACGTTTATTTTTCCCTTTTTTTTAAGTTTTGCTTTCCCGGAACTTATTTAGTACTTTGTTTTTAATATAAAAAAACATGGTTTGTGACTCCAGTTTAAACTTAACCCCCGATTGGTTTGGGGGGCCTTTTCCCCTTTAAATTCCAAACCTTAAAAGTTATTCATAGATTGATTTTTTCCCCACTTTTGTTAATTCTAATTATTAACTTTGGGGTTTTTTAAAAAATTTTGTGTCTTTTTTTTGGAAAACAGTATGGTTTTACTATACTCAATTTGTTTTATTTTTAACAAATATTTCAAGTCGTTCAGTCAATTATTACTTTTAAATATTTGATTTTTTTTTTAAATTTTTTCTTTTTTCAAGAAACTTTGTAAAATTTTTTCCTTTAAATTTTGTCACATTTTGACAGGAAAAATGAATTTACCCTTTTATTGAAACAGGGTTCTAAAAAAAACCGAAGAAAAAAGTAATTTTTAATTTTTTTTGTATGGGAAAAATGTTTATCATCCCCCTCTGTTTTTTACAGGGATAACTGGAGAAAAAATTTATTTTGGAAAAAACACTCGAGGTCAAAAATGTAGGCAAAGGGACACGGTGGGCATTTTTTACCCTTAAAAATGCACTGCAGGTTTATTTCAATATTTTTTTGAGGGTTAAAAAAAAATTTTAAAAAAGCATATAAAAATATTTTAGAAAATGGGAGAAATTTATAGAAGGGATGGGCATGTCCCACAAATGCTTAAAAGAAATTTTCTAATTGTGATTGTGCTTTTTTAAATTAAAAAATAAAAATAATTTTAGACAAGGGGGTATTTTCGGCTGAAGTTTGGGGCCACAAAGTTTTTTTTTTTTTTTCCCCCAAGGGGTTTTTTTTTTTGTAATGTATTTCTTTTGTTTCCCTTTTGGATTTTTCCCTTTTTTTCATTTTGTTTTTTAAAATTGAATTTCTTTTAAACCGGTGTAGGGAGTTTTACAAATATCCCCAAAAAAAAAAGGGCTTAGTGCAATTTTTTATCAGGAAAATTTTTTATTGCTTTAAATGATCCCCAAAAATGACATTTTTTGCTTAAGTTTTCATTATCAAAATTAGCTGAATTTTTACCCCATATTTTTAAAAAAATTGGCTTTTTTTCTTTAAAGGGATTGGAAACAATTTATACCTTTGAAAAATTTTTGGAAATTAAAATAAAATATGCCCAAAAAAATTTTAAAAAAAGACTGCCCAAATTTTTTTTAAAAACAATGAAATTAAGGTTTAAAATCGGTGGGTATTTAAAAATTTTTTTTTTTGGGTAAAATGAGTTTTGGTTTTAAAAAGGTTTTATGCAAGTTTTTTTTTTTTAAATTTAAAAAATTTTGGGCCCAAAAAATAGCCTTATTTTTAAATTTACCTTTCATGCCCCTATATACCTTCGGACATAATGTTTACTTTAAAATTTTAAATTTTATTTCAGATGTCTTTATCCCAAAAAATCGACCCTGAGACTGGGGCGGGGAAAAATAAAGGAAAATCAACCGTTTTTTAAAAGCTTAAAAAAAATAATTTTCATCTTAAAATTTTCCCATATGTACTTAAAAAAATTTTTTTAAAATTTTTCTTTTCTCCTTTTTTTTCAAAAAAGTGAACCTTTTTTTAAAATATACCCCAAATTTTTAGATTTTCAATAAAGAAAATAACGGCAAAAATTTATTAAAAACCAAAAAAAAAAAAATTTTTTTTAGCATTTAATTTAAGGGCCTAAAAACATTTTTTTAAACCAAATGTTAACAACTGTTTTTCCATATTTAAAAAAAGAAAAAAAAAAAGTTTTTTCTTTTAAAAAATTTTTATAAAAAAATTTTAAAGTTAAAATTGCGTTTTAATTAAACATAAATTTTTTAACAAACAATTTTCAGATACATAATTAAAAACATAAAAATAAACCTTTAAATTTTTAAAGGGCCCACGTAAAATACTTCCAAAAAAAATTTTTAATTTAAAATAATTATAAAATATTTTAAAAAAGGGTTTAAAGGGAAAAAAGTATTAATTAAAAAGAAAAAAACCCCCAAAACATTAAATTTTATACAAAAATTGATATTTTAAAACCCAAAAAAACTAAAGGGATATAAATAACCCAAATCATAATATAATAGGGCCTTTTTTTATGTAAGTTATTTAAAAAAATAAAAAAAAGTAAATTTTACCAAAGGGTTTAAAATTGGGCTGTTTTGATAAAAGATACTTGATGTTTTATCTATTTTCAGATTTCTTGTTTTGGATCCATATGGTCCTAAACTTGTATGGGAAAACCTACCCGTGGAGAAAAAGAAGGGGATATTTTAAAAATTTGGGGAAACCATTTATTTTGTAAGGAAAAAAAAAACGGAACTTTACAAACAAACTGTTGAAAATATAGGGCGAAAATATCAATTTGCAATTACATGTATATATAATAAATATTTTTTAAATTTTTGACTTTTTGTAATTTTAAATTTAATTGAATTTTTTAAAATATACATAACAGAAGTTTTGCTGGGGGACATACATAATAAAAATTTCCAATTATTTTAAAATCAAACGCTACCAAGTTTTTAATAAACCCCTCCAATATGGTTAATTAAAAACTCTTTTAAATAGATTTAGTTTTTCATTTATTTTTTGGGTAAATAAGAAGATAAATTGTTTCATTTGGTGTCACTGCCATATAAAAAAAAGATGAAGCTGGTTTTCTGAAAACCCAGGGTTTCTTTTTATTTTTTAAGGGTTTTTAATTTTGATATACTATTTTTAAAAAAGGGTTTTTTATTGGGAAATTCTGTTTTCCCCTTCCCATAAATTAATTTAAAATTGGAAATAATTTTATAAATAAAAACAATGTATATTTAAACTAAGGGAAAATGAACATTTAATTTTCCTTTTTTTAGTAATAAAAAAATAGAAACGACAGAAAAAAAATTTTTTAAAGTAAAAAAGTACAGGTTTTTTTTTTATACATTTTTCATATTAAACACAAACGTAAAAATTTGTCAAGTAATTTAAAAAAAGTTGAGTGGAGTTCATATTAACCCCCTTACTTTATTTAGCATTTTTTTGGGAAAAAAAAGCTGTTTTCATTGAAAAAGTCTCCCGGGTTTAAAATTTTAAATTGCTATAAAAAATTTAAAATTTTGCTTTTAATTTCTAATCAAACTTTTGGGGACAAGTTTTTTAACTGGGGCCATTTTCCTTTTTCCCAAAAACATTTCTCAGGTTTTAAATTTTTCCTTTTTCAAAGGGGGGGCCCAAAAAAATTTTTTTTGGGTTTTTTATTTTTTTTTCAAATGCTTTTTCAATTTGGAAAGTTACCTTTTTATTTTTTCCGGGGGTTTCTTTTTAACCTTCTTATAAAACCAAAAATTTTTTTGAAAATGAGGGGGGCTACCGCCACCCTTCAAACCCCCCAAACAGAAGGGGACATCCCCCTTCTGCAAACCCCCCGATGTTCCCTTTTGGTTGAGGGGGCCCCGCCGAAAAAAATGGTTCCTTTTTTTAAAAAAAAAATTTTTTGAAACAAAAACCCAAGGTTGGGTTTAAATTTAAAGGGTTTTTTTTACCCCTTTTTGGGAAAGGGGGGTTAAAAAAAGGGGTTATATTTCGTTTTGGGGTTAAAATTAGGGAAAAAATCAAATCTAAAAAAAACAAAGGTTAATCATTTCTAAGTGACCTAATTTTTCCAAGATGTAATTTTTCTAAAAAATTAAAATACTAGTATCATCCAATTTTTTTTTCCTTTCTGGTTTATTTTTACCGGTTTTTCCGGGTTAAAGTTTATTGGTTTTTAATTTAAAATTAAAAGGGTTTTTGCACCTTTTTATCTGCATTTACATTTACGTATTTTTAAATTTTGAGGACCCAAGGGGGCGATTAACCCTTCAACGGGTGGTAAGCACGAAAAAGAGGGATAAGCCCTTTTTTTTTGCAATTTAAAAGTATACGTTTAAAATTTGAAATTTTACGTTTTGTTTTTCCGTTTTTTTCGTTATTTAAAAAAAACCCCGTTTCGCCCTTTCTTTTTCCCTGTTTCGATTGGGTTTTGTTTATTTGAAATATATATGTTTTTTAAAAATGAAATTTACCATGACCATCAAAGGCAGTCAAACTGTTTTTGGCCATGGGGGTTCCACCCCCCGGGGCCCGGGGGGAAATTGGTTTAAAATTTTTTCCCCCAACCCCCCAAAACCGGTTTCGTAGGTTTTCTTAAAACTTTTTAATCCCCTCCTTAAACGGGCATAACTTGCAATTTTTCAAAAGGCCCCTTTTTTTCAAAAAATTTTAAAAAGAAGTTTTAATATTTTTTAAAAGGGGGAATTTTTAAATACCCTTTTTTTAAATGAATAAAAAAGGGAAAAACCGAAACAAAACCCAAAAAAACATTTAAATTAAAAAATTACCTTTAAACCCGGAACGGGATTTTTAAATTAAATTTACCAAAAACCCGGACAAAAAAAGGGATTTTAAAGGTTAATTTTTTACCCGTTTTTTGGTTTGGAATTTTAAAATTTTTCGCAATCAGTTTTGTGGGGGAACCCAAAATTTTTTTTTTACCCTTCTTTAATTTTTTTTTTTCCCCCTTTAAAAACTTATTTTCCCCGCCCGGTTAAGGGGATTTCAAAAAAACTCCAAAACAAAACCTTTGTTTTTGGAACGTATTCCTTTTTTTCCCAATTCCAAAAAATGGGGCTTTTCCCCCTTTTTATGGTGCCCGGGACCAAAAATAAAGTTGAAAGGGGTCCTTTTTATTTTTAGCCCCCGCGACCCCAACAAGCCCTTTTTTAAAATTTTCTTTTTAATTTTCTTTTCCCCTTCACTCCGGTATGTTTAAAACGCTTTTTTAGAATTTTTAATTTTCTGACGAAACCTTTACAAAAAGTTACTTACATATACACTGACCTTTAAAGGTTTTGTACTTGGGTTCTTGGCTTAAGAAAATAAAACTTTAAAATAAAAATACACTTTCTTAAACGCTGAAAGAGGATTACGAATAGCTTGTGAATATTTTACTTATAAAATGGCTTTTCAATTCATTGTGGATGTTTTAAGCTATTTTTCGCAATTTTCAATTATGTCGTTTATTTTAGTAATCACTGTTTGTGTACTGCTACACCACATTTTCTTCTCAAAACGTTATTACCCGCCGTTACCACCTACCCCGAAATTTAAGCTTCCGCTCATTGGACATTTACATCTGTTGGAGCGTGACATGAGGAAACCTTTCAAGAAATACAGAAAATCATTTGGAGACGTATACTCGTTATATTTTGGCGGGAAGTTAGTAATTGTTTTATCAGGATATGAAACATTGAAAGAGGCATTTCTAAAAAATGGAGAGGTTCTTTGCAGGCAGACCAAGCCTGTACATTACAGATAAAGCTTACAAGGAATTCTAGGTACATATAAATTACGAAGTCAATCATGTCAAGATTTCATTTTTTTTCTGTCAAAATTTGTTTTGAAAAGCACTATACATAAAGGGCCTACAATTTAGTTTTTTATTATCAGATGCTTACCAATATAACTTAAACAGTACGTTCTTACCTTCAATGTTTGAGATAAAAGAAAATAGTATGTACAATTTGTTTTATAATTGTAGGGCTGGTTCTTGCAACCGGTGCTCAGTGGAGAGAACATCGTCGATTTGCGTTGAGTACTTTAAAAGATTTTGGAATGGGAAAAAGCAAACTTGAGGGGAAAATTCAAGAAGAAGCTATGTCACTTTTGTCTCAAATAGAAAATTTCAAGGGAGATCCTTTCGATCCGAAAGACATTATCAGTACCAATGTTGGGAATATAATATGTTCCATGTTGTTTAAAGGCCAGTTTAGCCACGACGACCAACGATTTTTAGGAATGATTAAATTGATGGAAGAGAATATCACGTAAGTAATGAACTTAGCATTGTTTTCTCACATCATGAATCCACATAAAGTGCAATTATAAATGTTTACCCTTTAGTTGTGCTGCTGTTTGTCCCAAAAAGCTAAATGTATATAACTGAAGAATGCCGATTAAAAGCTCGCTATAAAGGGGTGTTCACATGTATTTCCATCTGCCTCCTTGGTCGAGGGGTTTAGAGTTTGATGACTTCTAATTTCCCGTTCCCTTTTGGCGTGGGGTTTGAAACTCCCCGGGAAAATTTCTTTGGGAAATTTTTATTTTGGGGCCCGGGGGGAAGGGAGTGTAAATTCCCGGTTTTAACTCTCCAGGAACGATGGGTTTTTGGGAAACTACCCGCCTATTTTGAAATGAAATAGGGGTTTAAAAAAAATGCGTAAAATAAAAAAAAAAAAACAAAACCCAAACCCAAACACATGACTTGTAAATTTCCCAAAAATTAAAGTTTAAGCCTGAAAAAAAAGGAATAAAAACGCCCTGCGTGAATTTAAACCCAAAAAAATTTTAATTTTCCTTTAGTACCCAAAAATTGCAAAATAGTTTTACTATCTGTCATTTTACAATATTATTTAGCGTAATGGTAATTTGGAGTTTTTGTTCCATAAATAGATCTGCCGCTGGACTTGCCAACCTCATGCCATGGTTAGCTGAATTTCCAGGCGATCCTCTAAACTGCAAGAAAATGATCAGCAACGCAGACAAGGTGTACGAGTTTATTGAAGACATAATTGACGAACATGTGAATGAATTTGATGAAAATGATATAGATGATTTGACTAGCGCTTACATTAAGGAACTAAGGTTTAAAGAAAGTACTGGAGAGGAGACGACAATGTCCTGTAAGGTTATATACATTTGTATTTGCATATATACAGTATATGTCATTGTATAAAATGATTTGATTACTCGATTATGAATGTTTTACAATTGTAGTGCAGATGTGTTCCAATTGTATACAAATCAATATTTGGTACGGTATATACGGTGAGAAAACCCACAAACATTTATGAGTTTATTCGTATGACAGCATGAATCATCAGCAATAATTCCCTGATGATATATATAACACTCATTAAATGTCTCCCCTGACCTTATCTAAGTCTTTACTTCCCCTTTACTCTGCAAGGTCTGTAGATTAATGCGAAAGAGTTGTTTTATGGTTCAATATTTCAAACTTACCAGACCAATCCTACAATATCTGCTCGTTTTTTGTTGTGTGTTTTTTCTTCTTCAGATCTCTTGGGAAATCCTTTCTCCAGAATTTTCTTTACTTGCAGTGAAACAGTTATCTGGTGTGATTGCGGATTTATTCATAGCTGGCTCTCACACAACTACGGCCACATTGAGATGGGCAATCATTTGTCTCGTGCAGTATCCTGATATACAAGAGAGAATTTACAAACTCCTTTGTTCAAGCATCGGAACCCAGAGACTTCCCTCATCAACAGACAAAACTTCGCTTGCATATCTTGAAGCTTTTTATTTGGAAGTTTTAAGGTAAATAAAATTCAACACGTTCTACTGATTTTAACTATAAATCAAAACTGCAGGTTTTGATTAAAAGATACTCTTCCGGTATAAACCTAGTTTAATTGTTTTGTGTGATTTTTTTGTCAGGTTTGCATTTATATCTACTTCTTAACATAAGTCTAATAAGAAATCGGGCCTTGAACATTTGTTCACACTATTGCGGGGTAATAATGCAGAGTTTTTACGCTGTACATAATTAGACAAATGTGTTTGAATCTTGATTACTTTCGTTTTACCTTACCAAAGAAAAATGCAATTACTTTCAAAAATATTGTTTGTATGGATATTTTTTTATATTGTAAATTACATGATAAATATCCTTTACATGATAAATATCCTATAAGCAAAATCTCGCAAAAAGATCAAATAAAAGACAAAACAGTGAACCGGAAAACATGTATTTTTAAATTAGATTCGCATAGGAATGATGGCGATATATGGTTTACAAGGTATTTTTAATTAAATTATGTTAAACACATTTGTGCCGAGCAAAATAATCAACTGCGTCAAACTTCTAATAGGACATCCGTAAATAGAGAGAAACAAAATTACTAAAGAACGAAAAACACGGCAATTTTTCTGGCTCGCTTTGATTGAACCTGTATATGAACAGTAGTGGAAAGTGAAAGCTAATCTCCTCGTCGTCTAACCCCCTCCCCCCACCCCAGCACCGGCTTAAGTGAAAGCATTTTATTGTTAAAGGTTCTGCTGTATATCAACATCAAGCGGAGTTCATTCAACTACAAGAGACTTTACCTTCAAAGGATATACTATTCCAAAAGAAGCGGTAATTATAGCAGATTTTGATTCAGCCCTGAGTGACCCAGCTACATGGCAGGATCCGGAAGTCTTCAGACCGGAAAGGTTCCTTGATGACAATGGTAATGTCAGAAAGAGGGAAGAAAATATAACGTTTTTTCTTGGTAAGTTTTCTTATCGTTTTAATTTCTTGAGTTTAAATTTTTTTCGAATCACCTTGTTTGTCTTCTTCCTATTTCATTAGAGTTATTATTTGTAGAAGAAATATGTAACATGGGTATATCTGTACAAAAATCGGTTTGAGTTTTAGTCAAGCGAGCAATGTAAAGAATGATTTCAGTTACCTGTCTTTGCATGCGTTACTATATATTTTCACTTACAGCCCCTGCCACAGTCCTGAATCTGACATTTACACATATAATACTATTGTAAATTATCCATGTCAACCTTCAGATCTGACATTTAGAAACCTTTGTTAATTTTATTTTTGTCATACACACGTTTATAATCATTAGATATTCTTCAACGACTTAAATGTTGTTTAAACAATTGAGCATGTTTTAAACTTTCGCATTTGATCCAAATTTCAGGAAAGAGAAGTTGTATTGGAGAGTCTTTGGCACGTGCAGAATTACTTATATTTCTTGGAGCTCTAGTTCAGAAGTTCCGATTAGAAAGTCCAGAAAACGAAACAGTGTCGGTCGAACATCTTGACGGTGTTTTCGCACTAGTACATATTCCTAAGCCATATAAGATAATTGCGATTCCACGCTAAAAATGCCATGTGAACTAAAAATCATACCTCTTTTATCCAAAAGACGGTATTGAAACTGGAGTGTTATAAAATGATTCTGTTTTTATGAATATTTTACTTTATTATGTATTTTAATAATTATATAAATATAACTTTTTGAATACATTTTATTTGTAAATTATAGAGCATAATATCTAAGGTAACGCCACTTGTAAATAGAAAAGAATATGTGATAATGCCGAGAATACTTTTTAAGGTAAAGACTAAAACAGTGTTAATGAAATAATTAACTATTTGTTAGATAAAAGTTATATAAGCAGCATTAAAATAAAATAATACACATTTTGACTTAATCATGTATGTTTTCTGTCATGTCAAAATCAATATTTTTTTGTAATAAACATTTATATCTTTTAAATGATTCGTTTTAGAAGAATTGAGAGTTTTACATTCAATAAATAGAAGAAAAAAATTAAAAAGCCAAGCAAATATGTCTGATTATTTATAATATGTCGAATATTTTGTCATGACGCAACTGTTGATTTTGTACAGTTCTTTGTCTCAAACGCCAGAAATAAATATTACATATTTTGGCAGATTGGTCATAAGCTAAAATCGTTAAATAAAATAGTTATCAAGCTATGATATGGATATGAAAAATGATCATTTTATTCAAACAAAGTTTTGTGGAACGTTGGAAAATATTGTTGGTGAAAAAAATGTCTAAATTATTCCATAGTAGCCTATACATATAAGTGGCACCAGAACGCAGTTATTACTCTTAGTTGTCACCATAAACGAAATTAGTTGCACGGAAAATAGTGCCTAGGTTAGTTTCTGAATATTCATGAAATTTATTATGAATGAAAGCTATGACAAATGGCATAATTTAACAAAAGAGTTATGAAATGATTGACAAATGTGAATTTTGAATCAATTCGAAAGTTAACATATGCACAATGGTCATTTTTGACATGGGTATTTTGCCTGTTTACGGCCTTTATGACAATAAATCATCATATTCACTTCATATGGGTGAAAAGTTTGGAAAGAAAATAACTAATCAACCACTCATTTACAAAAACAGATTCTTTTCTCTCTGATAGTTTGTGTTTTGTTTGGAACTTTTAGAAAATTGCAACCTCACTCAGAGTCTATAAAGAACATATAGAAAAAATAACTGAGGTATTGGGCCAATAATGGTTGAAGGTATATATATTTAGTGTTTACGACAACTTGTTATTATTTAGTTCAACACAAAGTTTGACCGTTATTGTTGTTTGTATAAAAAGATTGAAGTCACAATATGTAATGTAATCAGTCTGAACAACACTGGGACTTATTTTATAGAACCATGGACAAAATGAACCATGGACAAAATGAACCATGGACAAAATGAACCATGGACAAAATGAGTCCAAATGCTGTAACATAGCTGTAATTGAAAATTTCCGTTGTTTAACCGAACTTCAAAATATGTGATTTGATGATATATCATTTTGCTATTTGCCATGGTCATCTTTCTGCTGTCGGAGAGGTCTGTGTTGTAAATTACTTTTATCATTTAAACACCAGTTGAAAGGTATATAACACTGAATGGACCTTCGCTATGTAGTCCTTCGAGTCCATAGTTGTGTTTCGTGAGACCAAAATTGGGATATTTTTCGTTTCAAGAATATGTCCTAAGTTATGTCTCTTTTGGTAAGACTCTACAATTTCTGAATAGCGATGAAGATGAACATTTACACATAGCACGTGCCACTGTTTTTTGTGAATGAATTAAATAAAAGTCCAAAACTTTTATTTAAGATGAAAGTATTTATTGAAACGGTCTCCTGTTAGTCCTACAGTTTGTCATAAGTCTATGAATTATTTAATCTTAGTGATCTCGTTGTCTTACAAAATGTATACAGTGAAAAAAAAATATCTATGTAGTGAATGACATAAAATACCTTTCGATTGCCAGAGGAAGGCGAGTGAATAAATTCTTCATAGTCATCAAACATTAATTTTCTTATAATTTAATAAAATATGATTCTTCCTGACCTGACACTTATCTGCCTACAAATTGAACAATGTTGAAAGGCACGACCACGATATTAAAATTATTCTATAATATTACTCTTGAAAATGTCTAGTCGTATTTACATCTGTTCATCGCAAATGTTTTAAGAAGTTATTTTTTTCTAGTCATTTTGAAAATATAAGACAGAACTATGTTTCGACTGCAAGATTGGTGGGTTTTTCATTATTTAGGTTATATCAGGTTAGTTTTGTTTTATAATAACAAATAATTCTTTAGCGATTAATAATTAAGCATAAACGTTATAAAACGTTTATAAGTATAAGGAAACTTCGATCAATCTTGGAATTATTTCCGAATCATATGAAGTTGTAATTATGACTATAAACATATATTTTTTTCTATTCTAAAACCATTCAATAACGTTTAAGTACGTCATCTTGGCCGTGTTATGTTCACAGGAGTGTATTAACTAAATAGGTCAAAGTGCAAATGAAGTTTTTTTTAATGCAATAAATGTAATCTAACTAAGGATTTCATATATAAATAGCATGAACGACTAATTTTAGATATATTATTTTCTATTCTGACATTTCAACTTCTTTTTTTAACGTCGTTGGCCTATCTGATCGTGAAATGTTTTTAAGCTGATACGGCCAATGATTTGACCTCATTTGACTGATGACATACGAATTGAAAATTTCAATCGGTTATTCTGACGAAATGTTAGGATTATAAAAGACAAACATTCATACACCTATAACCATTGGATGGTAAATAATAATAAATGCGATGGATTTACAAACAATATACGCCTTTTTGGCCAGTTTAACCAATATTCCGTTAACTTCGATAATTTTGGTAATCACTGTTAGTGTACTGCTACACCACATTTTCTTCTCAATACGTTATGACCCGCCGTTACCACCTACCCCGAAATTTAAGCTTCCGCTCATTGGACATTTACATCTGTTGGAGCATGACATGAGGAAACCTTTCAAGAAATACAGGAAACAACTTGGAGATGTGTTTTCATTATATTTTGGCGGTAAACTAACAATCGTTATATCAGGTTATGAGACATTGAAAGAAGCATTTCATAAAAATGGAGAATTGTTCGCTGACAGACCAAGTCTCTATATCACAGACATTGCTACGAGAAATCGAGGTAATTTTACAAACTATTTACAATTTGAATTTCTATTCGTTGTTTATCGGATATCTTACGGATAAAAGAGTCTCTAACTAGTTCTTCGTATATTAAGATGCGCATTTTGTCAAGATAGTAAGCATCAAATAAGATGGCACTGATCTGAATATTTTACTATTTATTTTGATTCAAGTTGCATTTGTATTAAATTAATAGTTGTTAAAAATATGCTTAATGTCGAATTATTTCGCTTTTATATGAATTTTAAATGAATATGTATCGTTCATTTAATTGTTTCACAGATGTTATTCATGCCATTTTATATTTTTGCCATCATAAAATATGCAAGAAGGAAAGGAAGTAATGAAGTCAAATGTATTATATGCATGAACGTGCACTGCTTATCAAATTTAAGTATTATCGAAATTTGAAATATCAGCAGATATTAAAGTAAATTATTTCAACTTATTAGATATATGTGACGAATTGTGTTAGACACATAGGAGTTATGTGGTTCGTCCACTGTCAATATTTAGATAGATGACATAATCAAATAATGATTGTTCAGCTTTTATGGTAGAAGAAGACCTTAAGTCAGTAGAACCACTGACGTTCCGTATGTTTCTCACATGAAAGAATCCCATCCCTGACGGCATTCGACGCCCCTTATAAGACCTTTTTTAGAACACAATGCATGCACTAAAATTGTCTTTTTAGTCCATGATCAAATAAAGTGATTTTAAAAGTGAAAGGTTCTTAAAATTCTTGTATTTATATAAATAGGTATTGTACTTGCTAATGGTGAAAAATGGAAAGAACACCGACGGTTTGCGTTGAGTACATTAAAAGATTTTGGAATGGGAAAAAGCAAACTTGAAGGGAAAATTCACGAAGAAGTTCAGTCGTTTATATCTGAAATAGAAGAATTCCATGGGGCATCTTTTGATCCGAAGGATTTTATAAGCACCCATGTAGCAAACATAATATGTTTCCTCTTGTTTAAGGGGAAGTTTAGGCACGATGATCAAAGATTCTTAGGAATGATTAACCTCATCGACGAAAATATGATGTAAGATTTTGTATTCTACACAATTTTAACATCTCAATATCATTTTGGTCAATATGCACACATACTATGCAATAAAACATATTTTGATATAAAGTCAGAATATTTTACTCTTATTTGATAACAAAAAAAGTAACAAATAATAAAACGTTGTGGAAATGAGATCAATTTCAATGTTTAATCATACGTTTCAAGATGCTTGAAATGAATATAGTAAATCCAGAAATAAAAGACTATTACTTAAATGTATTTACAATGATGAATGCAGGTTTTGAGAATTTTTGTAAATATTTTTTGTTATGTATTTTTCTAGATCATCAGCTGGGCTTGCAAATCTCATGCCATGGTTAGCGGAATTTCCAGGTGATCCGCTGCAATGCAAGAAAATGATTCGCAATGCGGACAAAATATTTGAGTTTATTGGAGATATCATTGACGAGCATGTACGTGAATATGATGAAAACGATATTGAAGATTTCACAAGCGCTTATATTAAAGAAATGAAGAGGAAACAATTGAACGAGGAGTCAACAACTATGAGCTGTAATTACATATACATCAGCAATGTGTTTTCAGTTATTAATTATCATAATTAGTAACCTATCTTTTTGATGTATTTTAAAATTTCTAAATGGATAAAAGGATTGACCAAAAGCAATTTAAGAAAATACTATGAGTTTGGTAATATGTATTCGTGCGAATGTTTGCGTTTATTATGTGTGTTTTTTACTTTGTAGATGAGGAGTTATCAGGTAATATTGGAGATCTGTTTGTGGCAGGCGCACATACAACAACAGCATCAATGAGATGGGCATTAATTTGTCTCGTGCAATTCCCTGATATACAAGAGAAGTTGTACAAGAGTATAACCGAGAGCATAGGGGACCATAGATTACCTTCAACTGCGGATAAAACAGCTCTTGCCTACCTTGAAGCTTTTTATTTGGAAGTACTAAGGTAAGACGACTTGATGTTTAAATTAAGGTAACAAAAAGGGCATAATATATAATTATAGTTTTGTAATTACACACATGCTATTTAATTAAATGAGTATTAATTAGGCACGAATACGCTTTAGAATTAAGACTAATGAAATAATACCATGATAACGTTAACAAGAGTTCGTCTAATTGCGTTGTTGTTAATGCTTTCGAGGGATCACCCTTTATCCAGATTTTTATCAATTGCGATAGATATTTATCACATATTGTTGTAAAATTTGCAGATACTGCACTGTAGTGGTAACAGGTGGAGTGCATGCAACTACAAAAGATTTGACCTTCAAGGGATATACAATCCCTCAACATGCGCTTATAATGCCTGACATACATTCTGCATTACATGACCCTGATGTTTGGAATGATCCAGAAATCTTTAGACCTGACCGATTTTTAGATGATGCTGGTACTATAAGAAAGCGAGATGAAATGATAGCGTTCTTTCTGGGTGAGCTCTTTTTATAGTTCTATTACTTTAATAATTGTTCCCATTTAAGACTCCTTAAACCGATAAATCCGTACGTGGATAATACAGAAATACGCCAGGTACATATATTTTCATTTTCTATTAAGCGTATATTTATATTTTAGGGAAACGAAGTTGTATAGGAGAATCTTTGGCAAGAGCTGAGTTACTTATCTTCATAGGTGCTCTTGTTCAAAAGTTTCGTTTAGAATGTCCCGAGAATGAGACAGTGTCAGTTGAAGATCTTGACGGAGAATTTGGATTGGTACATACACCAAAACGGTATAGAGTTGTGGCAATTGCCCGTGCTTAATTAAGCATCATATATGAATGACTACACCATAAAATATGCGGTACATAGACATATATTTGTATGTATACATGTATATTAAATTGATCATAAATAGAAGAATATATCATTAAATGTATCAGGTACAATCCCTTTCTGCATTACTGTGTTACTCATTATAATTGTTTATAGTTTGTTTGAAATATATTTGAAAATACATTTATTGCATAACATGTATCAAAAATGAGTGAATGTACAAATGCATCATGATATTTGTCATTAACAGATTAATTTCTCATAAAGTGTTAACATTCTCGTATAAAGAGGAATATTATTTATTATTAGCTAATACATGAAATATATTATAATTAATTAAATTTAATCATATTATAATGAATGTATCATAAGTTTTATAATAATTCAAATAGTATATCAGAAGAAGTAAATTACCACTATTCCTAATACATTCTCTAATTAACTTCACAACTATTACATTTTTAATATTTTTGATATAAATATTAATTAATTGTAAATATATGTTTATTGTATTTGTTTAGTCATAAACATTTTTCTTGCCATCTTTTTTGTTGTAAACTTATCATCAATTTGCCGAAAATCTATATAAGACTTAAATCTTTTGCTCAATAAAGGGTCTATATATATATATGTTACCGAGTTTTATTTTATTTCATACTTCCTATTTCAATAATTTATTAGCTATTTTAGTGACTTTGTAATATTTCTTCTTTCATATTTCACTATCTATAAATCTTTAACCAATAGTAAAGCTTGCAAGTACACGACTTTATATAAAAAATATTTAAAAAATAATTGGTCCATTACGGAAGGTATGTAATACCATAAATAATGATGTTAATGGCGGTATATCAAACCACAAAAAAATTGCCTATGGATGTTGTTGGGTAAGTGTGAGACCCATGATCCGATTTCAATTATTTTTATATAGCAGATAAATTGTTCAGGAACAAAATATTATTGTTCTTCATATAAACGTCTAGAACTCTATCAACATTTTTATCCATGAAATATTTCACAAGAATATCCAAATGCTACATTTCTATAGGTTTTTATGAATATTTAAAATATTAATGGAATATGTTCTAATTAATCAACTAACTTAAATTAAAACGATAAGCAGTAAGTATATCTATCGAATAAAAACAGAATCTCTAAGTAATAAGTAATAAAACGTTTAAGGTTCCATGTTCTGTCTACCTTATATAGAGCTTATGATTGTCATTACAATGTTTTTGATATCATTCAAAGTAGAAATATTTAGAAGTCAAATACTCTAAAAATAAATTCTTTTGCAGTATACTAAATGCGCACGTTTATTTCTAACAACCATGAGCTTCTTTCGTTAATTTTTGCCCTTCATTTTTATCGAAGAATACAAACATAAAGCTCAATAGGTAGAGCGTTGAATTGTGAATCGGCGACCCGGGTTCGATTCCCCGACGGTGCAGGGAACTTTCCTTGTGATTCATCATGAAATCTTTTCTACTGGTCATTCGTATTGTTCGTCTGCTCTGGCATGTACAGAAGCTTCAGTTCCTTGCGAATGTGAAAGCAACTAGAACTGGTAAACTGTTTGACATGCCCAGGAACTGAACTGTGTTCTAGTAAAATCAATGTGGCTTACTGCCATGATCCGGAGTGAAAACTTACAACACCAATACCACCACCAACAACATTAGGGTATTGATATCCATTGTCTTTAACAGACGTAAGTTTACATGATTCACAACATTTTAACCGTTATTAGTTGATTACAGTTACCTCATTCCGATACCATCCTGAAGCTAGAGTAAACTAGTTGAAACTGAGTATGATCTTATTTCAAAGGTGTCGGAAATTCATGCGCATGCATATATTATGCATTAATAATTGATACAAATAAAACGCCTGTCATCTATGTTTACTATCTTTACATCTAAAATTGTAGCATGTATAAACCATTCAATGTTATCTTGCCAAATAATCTACGCTCATGTGGCATGAATCCTGTTGTAGAATGTTTTGAATGTCAAAATCACGAATAAAAACCGAGTATGCAACTAGTGGGGGAAAAGGGATATATAGAAGACAACAGTAGTGTATATATACTGTATGATGATTTAATACTGTATTGGAGGTGAACACTTGATTAATAATACTGCATCATTTTGTGTTTGACATATAAGCTCACACAAAGTGTTTATGTTCTGTCTAGAGGACACTGACCATCTACCAATCACTTGGTTCTATTGAAAACTGAGGATGCTCCAGATTAATTATTTCCCTTTCATTCTGAAACTGACATCCTTGTATGACACATTCTGGGCTACCTTCCTTGTATAACCAATTTTGCCTGAAAATTGAAATTAAAGGTTCAGGTACAACATTTCATTACCCATATGCAGATCGATTAAGTTATGTTTGAAAATATACTATAAATGGTGCAACATCATTCATGACCCCTTGCTTAAAATCATACAGTATCTTCTGAATAAAACATTTACAAAACTGTAAGTATACGCTGTATTAAAGTCATTATGTTATTTCTCTACAGACATCAGCTTATTTTGCAAAAATTCAGAATTTTGACCAATGAAACGCACAACTTACATGAGTTTAACATTCGCCTTGTTCCCCTGGATCACCCCTTTAATGGAACCTGTTCGTGTATTTTTCACACAACCAGTTACGCCAATTTTACTTGCTGCTTCCAATGTGTACTGAAATTAGAAAATAACCTAAAATGATTCAAATTGAATCATCTAATTATGTGTCTAAATGTAAGATATATTCATGTATCTTTATTTCACACTTAATAAGATATAACCAATGAACTTTCAGCATTTGAACTACGTAATGTTCCGATGAAAATATTCATGAACGGATCCAATATAATCAATTTATAACTATTTCCAGAGTACAAAACATCCATATCAAGTCCATATCATACCCGATATAGCCCCGTTTTCAATTTTAAAGTCCAAAATATCTGTAGCAAATACATATTATACTCCATCTAGCCTTATTTCCATTTTCAATGTCAAATTATTTATGTAATTTCCTCATTGTATTTGATATAACAAAGTTTTGACAAAATGTCACAAAAATTAAATAGAGGTCAATAAACATTAAACAATACTGATTCTATATGACTCGTACACCGCTGAAAAACCTGTATCAGACTCGACTATCGTTTCGTCGAATATAGGTTTGACAGCAGTGTATGTACTCGTCCAATAACATTTCGTATCGACCTCAGCATTATATAATAACCTCATATAATAACCTCATAAAATTCATTAACTTTAATTAATTCATTTAACAATCAATGGACATTTCATTCACTTAGCATTTCAATATACTTCACGATCGATATGATTGTAATTTATTATGATAAGATAGATAATTACTATGTTCCCGGTTATTTATAGGCAAAATTTCACGTTTTCCGATAAGAATACAATATTTCTGAATAGATCATACATTTTTGGGTTTTATTTGATAACGTTAAGGTACATAAAAAACATATCAAAAGTGAATAAATTGGTGTTGCGCATTGACTTGCCCGACTCGCCAATATAGAACCAGATTAGCCTCTGTCTTATTTTCTTCTTTATTTTAGCATTGTAAATTGAAATCACTTAAATTTATTAAAGAGACTGTCCCAAAAAAGAAACATGTTAAGTCCACTATTCACATCTAGTGGCGGGGTAAAGGATGAATTGAAAATCAATTACCTTTCTAAAGTAAACACCTGAAATAGAATAAAAATGACTTTGAGATTTATATTTGCTATATGTACAAACGATTATCAATATTTCAATGCTATGAAAGTGGAAGCTTGAAGATTATTCTGAAATGTTCTGTTTTTCCACGATATATGTTCATTTAAACAAGACAATTTACTAAATTAACAATCAACAATTCATACATATCAACTTGACAAATCACATATAAATATTAAACTATATATACATAACGTTCTATTTCGATTTTATACATATCAGTCGAATCTTCACACTTCATTAGTAATAATGCTTCATAAACAAACGAAACAATATACAAATATATACAAAAGATAAAATAAAGAAAATGTATTAATTTTTTACCTTGAACGAGGCCGAATACCTCAAAATCCACTGATAACAGCCTCGACGGATCTAAATAACTCGTTTCCTCCATTGCTTTCACTATAACTAATATATTTAATGTATAGGGTAAAATTGTTTAGGGTAACTGTGTTTATTGAATTCTATATTGATTACCGCTTTAAATCAATCATTAATCTTTTATACACTTGTGCATATTTATCGATCATACTATTTGTGTGTACATTTTATTCTATTGTTATTGTACGTTTGATCAATTGTTCATGAACCACTTAAAACTGGAAAAAACGGGAAAAAGAAAACCACTTATTATTTCCTTTAAAATGTTTATTTTGCGATTAAATGGAAAACTTAAGTTAAAAAAATAACAGAAATTTTTTTGATAAAATATTTTAGGATAAGGTTTAAAAAATGTAATATTTATTGTTAGGGCTCACTTTTTTATATGCAGGTAATTTGCAGTTAAGGAAAAGCCCTTAAAATTGTTTTTAATTTTAAATTTTTTTTTAAATTTTAACTATGATTCCCTTCAAAAAACAGCCCAAACAAATAAAAACTTTTACTTTATAGCTTCGTTAAAACCCAAAATATTCTAAAATTTTTTTCTAAAAAGTATAGATATTTGGCAAAAAACTAGGGAGTTATTAAAAACAAATGATCCTACTTTGTAAGAATATATCAAGGAATGGTAGGAAAACGCGATATACGTTTAAGACATGGTGTCATACGTCAAATAAACGTTTCCATACGCATACACTGAACATGTTCAAAATTATTCAACGCATACGGGCGTTTGAATTTAATAGCTTTATGCGCACGCTAAAAGCTGGAGATTAGCTACAATATTATAAACTGGAGTCAACAATTTGTTCCTCGTAAATTGCAGGTCAGAAATGCTTCTTAAACGGTTGCCGAAGAAAACTTTGGCGGCTGATATGTGTCCTGTCGCATTTTTGCTCCTGCAGGCGAAATCATAATAATCACTTTGTCTTGCAGAGCGCCGGACGAAAACACGAATCTGCTTGCGCCCCGCGGAACAAAAATACGACATAGCACATATCAGCCACCATAAGACCCCATACCCCAACAGAAAAACAAACTAACAAATTAATAACTCATGCGTGTATCCCACCCTCCTCTACGGTAAAATAAATATTTTGACAATCCCATTTTAAATTATATGATCACAAAATATCCACACCTTTTTAACATTTGGATATACAAACGGACATGTTGTAATTTGATACCATCAAGTTAAATTTGTTTACCGATATTATGTCAGGTGTAAATGAAGTTTGAAAGAATGAGGAAGATATAATCTTTACGTCTACACCTATACAGACTTATAAACTAAATAAACACGCTTAAATTCAGGAGTTTTACTGACAGGCTCTCTTATTTTATTAAAAGTCAAGTTCAAACAATGCCAGGTATGTGAATTTACAACATTTTTTCTGTATTTTGTTTATACGATCGATTTTTTATGAACATGTTAGTTTCTTTTCAAGGTTGCATAATATAGTGTTTATCTTTTATTTAGGTCAACAAACAAGAACAAACATATGATCTTAATCTATTAAAGTAAATATAAGAACTGTTTTCGGAAGACTTTCAGAATAATTATAAATAATTATGTAAATTGTCACTTGATGAAAATAACGTTCAATAAATAAAATATTAATAAAGGTACTATTTTAGCATGAACAATTAGAGTCAACCAAAACAAAATATGTTAACATTAAAACAAGCTTCATGACGAGTTGAATATTGTTTAAGATAAATTTAAAACAAACTAATACGTTCAGACCTCTAAAAGAGTAAACAATGGCTTTTTTGTCTGACATTTTACCTAACGTAAGTCGGCCTCCATATTGTATTCTAAATCAATAGATATTGAACTTTTTCGTGTTGCTTGTTATCATTCAATATAACTTATCAGTGATTTTACAAAATCAGTTTTTGCCTTTTTTTCTACATCCTATTTTGTTTTTCTAATAGGTGTACATTTATAACTTTAAATGAGATGTATTATGACCGGATTTAAAAGAGGAAGTATAGAACGAGGTTGTTACGTTAAGCGTGAAATTATCATATCATGTTTTTGTATGTTTCAAAAGAGAAGAATGGGAGAATTTTTTTATAATATTGGTCACTTTGTAAATTGTTGAGAAGTATGAATTCAAAGATGTCTCTCTTACAAGTGTTAGACATAGAGTTAAAATTTCCAACTGCCAAATTGATAAAAATATAAAAAAAAATCTAATAAATTACCCAGTATATATAAGTTACATATTTGATATAAGACGTACGTAACCTTAATTTGCAAATTAACTTCGTTACTGTAAATGGATCATTCGCCGAAACAGTGCCTCTTTTCTCTTGCTTAAGTCACAACAAAAGTGTCACAACCAAATCACCCTTTTTTGAAGACACATGTCTATGCTTTTAAAATTTGTTAAATATATTAACAGAATTTAATTGTTGCTGCTTCTTTTATATATTGTACAAAATAAATTAAAACGGTAGATAAACCTTTGAATCTTGGCACACGCCTTTGTCAACTTTTCTCCGACAATTACTGTCAGAGGTATTTGATATTTATATAACTATCAATGTACCAATTGAACATGAAATAATATAGTATCATACTTATTAAGTTTTTAAATATATAACGACACAAGTTTCTTTCTTTTTTTCTCTAGATTGTAAACCACTCAGTTCACACAGGCAAAATCCACCTGTGTTTACAAAAACAAATATGTTTGAAATCATACCAGACAAGCACGAACTTGGTACGGGATCAGAGGTGACAGTAAAATGTGCTCCAAATCTTAAATTACAAGGCGAATCTTCTTTGAAATGCTTAGCTAATGGAGAATGGAATTATACAAGTATACCGGTTTGCAAAGGTACATATTATTTTGAAACGACCGTTTCATTTTTGAATGTTTTTTTCAAGGTGTCATTTAGTAATCACTGGTAAAGTAGTAAGGTTTTATCACGTTAAAACAAACTTAGCAAATGCCGCCTTAAGATTCTCAAAAGAGTTATAATTATTACAACTAAATGAACATCTTAAACATAACGCTGCAGATTGACAATTATCTTAATAATAGAACCAGCTCGTGCACTATTGTTTATATTGAAAGAGTAACCGTGCACTTCCGCATATCATTTCAGAAATAAATACAAATGCTGACATCTCATGGACCAATACTCCATGGAAAGTAGTTCTTATCTCTGTTATATGGGGAGTTGCAGCCTTGGTTGTACTTGCATTAGTCATTAAAAGTGTTGCCATTTGTATTCGGAAAAGGAGAGAAAATAAAAACAAACAAAGGCATTACACATATGGAGGGTCATATAAACGTCATGGAGATAGACATGTACACAAACATCACGAAGATAACGATAGGCATCACACCAATCATACTGGCCAGAATGGTCATCATCAATATAACCAGAGTGATCATCATGATGGATTTCATAGTCATCATGAGAAACATGGAGGACATAACCATCTGAATAAGAGTCATGATAAAATTCATCACCACAGTCACGATCACGGACATGATCACAGTCATGATCACAGTCATGATCAAGGAAATGATCACGGTCACGGTCATGATCACGGTCATGGTCGTGATCACAGTCATTGTCACGGACATGATCACGGTCACAGTCATGGTCACAGCCATGGTCACGGACATGATAATGATCATGGTCACGGTATTCATAAGAAAACTCATCATAAAGGAAGTCATGGCCATGAGGACCACAAAGATAAACATGTTCACCATAGAAGTATATACGATCAAGCGTCTGGCCAGAGTGAAGCACTTTCAGCGTATGATGTACCCATGAAAGATTTGAGATAATACCATATATAATTGTATATATGACTATATCAATTTGAGTACTTCACCGTTTTTGTAACATTTTCTGTGAAGCATTTTTGCAAACAGGGTCAACATCTATCAGGTCATATTTTTGATATATATTAACAATTTGTTTGATCCACAGGTCATTTGTATGTTTCAGTGAGGTAAATTACACAAAATTACTGAAAATTTTTGTAAATATTTAATCACTTCAACAGTAATAACTTGCAAAAACAATCGTAACCCCATTATGACAATAATAAAGAGAATGTAAGTTGATAATAAACAAACCTAAAGTAAACATATGAAGTGAAAGTAAAAAGACAATCGGCGGTTTGATTTTAGGACCGTTGACTTTCTTTATAAAGAATTTTCCCTTGCTTTTGGTAAAAATTTTCACTTTCAAGATGACAAAAATAATGATTCATTTATTAAGTTACAGTAATTATAGATAGATATTTATAGAACATACATTTTGTTTTTATTTAATCAGAATTAAAGTGATTTATTGCTTAAATTCTTTCAGAAGAGGCCCAATATATCATCCCCCAGATGTTTCTATCACTGATCATACCTAAGTAATAATTTTTCAATTGTGCATAGCAATCTGACAAATTTCATATATCATTCATGTTTTAACAATATGGTACTATACTAAAAAATTCTAAAACTTACGTAGCATTTGTATTGTTTATGATTTTTAAACTATTTGTATTCAATGAATCTGTTTACGCTTAACACTAACATACATGTAATTACAGGTGTCAATAGCTGTTTTACATTTTCAATTACTGTCCTGTTTTCCATATCAATGTTGTTTTATGTTACTCGTCCTTCTTGATTGCAGTACAATTTGATTTATCTTGAAATGTTTATGCTCATCTTGAAGCATGCAGCTTTAAATTATGAACCGTTACATAGTGTCATATCTTGATTTCAAGTGGATTAGTTTGTGACTAACTTGACATAACTTCCTTTTCTTCATCGTTGTACATCCAAATTTCACACTTACTGTAACAATTAGTATTTGCACACGTGTTGTTGCTTTTACATCAAGTAAGAGGTTAAAAACATCTTTTGGTGCGAGGTCAAATCTAAACTTATAACCACACTTTTGATCTATTCTGTTAAATCAAACACTGTCTCCCGACTAAATATTTCGCTGAAATTGGCGACGACAAGGACCTACACACTATTCAGTTGTACGTCTGAGTGTTTAAGTACAGCTTATGAAAGTCTAAAACATTACATAAGTAAAAAGAAGATTAGGTGTACTACTTAAAGTCTGTATCTGACTGCTTCTTTCAAAATGTATGTTTGTAGTTTTGTTTTAACTTTCAAATTTAAATGTATATTTATATGAATCAGATTGGCCGCGTTTTACAGGATATTGCATGGCGGTTTCCACCATTTTGCGTGTTCTGTCTCTTCTTTCTTCTTTAGCAAAGCATCTTCTGAGAAGTAAAGCATTTGCCTTAAAGCAGATGAGGCGAGAATACTTATTTTGTCGTCAAGCTCGGTCTCATTTTCATAGTTCTTTATTGGAAATACATTGTTACGTGGAAGACCGAGCAGGTCTGCTATCTTCTGAACAGCCTCTTCAACATTTGTGCTTGAACAGGCTAAGGAAATATCCTTCTTCACATCTTTACAGAGATTGTCTATTTTTGTTAGAACAACTGTTTGTACTATACCTGTTATAAATATAAAAATGAATAATTTAGTAAGTTTATCATGTTATCTCCTATTCGGTGTTTATGTAACGGTTCAGTGTTTTCTGGTTAATCATCCTTTAATGCTTCTATGAAAATGTTGAAATAATTCATCACTTAAAAAAAGGAAAAAACAAAAAATGTTTTGATTTGCAAAAAAACTTTTTTTTTTTGGGAAAACAAAGTTTTTAGGAAAAAAAAAATTTAAAAGGGTTTCAAAAAGAAAAAGCAAAAAGTTAGGTTTTAATAATTTGGTCCTTAACGTAACGTTTTAACCAACCCATAACAAAAAAGCCAAACCCCTTTCCCCCTTTTTTAGGTTCTGAAAAGGGCTGATTTTTGTTTAAAACCTTTTGATAAAAAAAGTTCCCCTGATGTTTTCAAACAATTTAAAAAACCCCTATGCAAAGTACTCTAAACATTGGCAGACGGGGGTTTCCGTTAATACCCCAAGAAACTGAATGCTCCCTTGAAAAATAAAAAAAAGAAAAATTAAAAAAATATTTGAAATTTTTAAAACATTTAAAACAGCAAATTTGCTTTAAAAGGTTTTGTAAAAATATTTTTTGCATATTACTTTTTGTTTTACTTCGTTTTAGTAATGTATATTACGGATAGAATAGAAAAATAAGAATTTCCCACAAAAAAAGGCCCAAACGACAAAAAAATTGAAAATGTTGCGGCCGGGGTTTCAATGAGCCTTTGTTCAAACCCCGGTAACTTTCGAAGTTCAAGTTTCCGCCCCGTCCTATAACCGATTAAGCAGAAATTCAACATTTAAATACAAAATGGTAAAATTTTGAATTTAAAAATATCCGCAGATGTGTTCATAGGTTATCATGGAACTTTCAATGTTACTCGCTATTGCCATTCAATGAAAAGCGGCATATGGTCCCCAAGTCATAGAATGCGTGTCCCCCAAACGGGTAAACAATAGGCAGAACTTAATAAAATGGAATTTGAAAGGGGGTCAGAGGTTATGATGACTTCATATCACAGATAAGACGTCAAAAGACAAAAGCAAAAGCAGGCAACATTTCCTAAAGATGATTCAACATTATTCAAGTAGGAATATTGGAACCACCCAAATAGAAAATGGCCAAATAGTTAAAACTTAAATATATTAAAAACACAACAAAAAATGTCGTGCCGAACGATCTATAAGGATCGGACATATAAAAACTCTGATTTAATGTACGGGAAAACTTTAACAGCCTCCACACGGCAAAAAAAAACAAACGCTGATGTGGCGATAAAATAGAGAAAATAACAGAAATCCTACAGAGAGTCCAAAACGACAAAATTGAAAATGTTGCAGGCTCGGTTTGATTGAGTCTGTTCATGGACAGTACTGTTACGTGCAAACTACCGTCCATGCCTTTACACCGGCTTAAGCAAATTAAACATTTAGGTATGAAATGGTAAAATTTTGAATTTAGAAATATCCGCAGACGTGTTTATACGGCGGTTATCATGGGGCCGTCAATGCGACATGTTAGTGCCATTCCATGAAAAGCGGCATATGGTCCCGAGGTAATAGAAAGCAAGTGCCCTAAACGAGTAAACAATGTGCGGAACTAAATAAAATGGAATTTTGAATGAGTATTCTATAATCTTATAACATGTTTTTTGACAATTGCAAAGAAGCAATACCTCGTAGTGGTCTTTTATGTGTCCATCCAATAAATATTTGCAGTCATCATGATGAAGACCATTGAGTTCTCCATTCCGCGTGTGTCACATAAACAGAAGTTCATGTCTGTACAACTTTGATCTTTTACAGCGTAGGTGGTATAATTAAATAATGAAGATACTTGTAACATTATTTCCGGGATTCCATTTAAGAAACACATGCGATTTAGCTAAGAGTCTAGATTCAGTATGTTATCAAATTTTTTTTTTCATTCAGTTTAACATATTTAATTTAAGTTGGAATCCCAAAGTACTGGCTTGGAAATTCCAGCAGAATACGTTATTGAGGTTACTATATCTAGGTCAAGTTTTTCTAAATTTAAACCGTTAGTCATGTTAATAACCTCTTCATTTGTACGTAAAAATTAAACTTTGTTTTTTTATCATAAATCTGCTATTTATTGGCGACGCCGGTAAGCGGCGTCGTCTCTTATGGAATGCTTTTTATTTTGGCCTATGGAAGGAGCTGTTATTATTAGCAGTTAATGACATGGTGTGTTAATTAGTCTTATTTTGATTCGTAAAAATCAAGTAAACAAATATGTTGTTATATTTGTATTTAATAACTTTATGTAAAAAGCATGTGTTATCGTGATATTATTTTCACGAAATTGCAGGTTAAGTTTAAACAGCTTGTCCCTTATTTTATTGGCAATACTAAAAACCCGGATTTCGAATATCGTTGTGGTCTACATTGATGCGCGTATCCTTCATTTATATATTTTCAAAATTTTCCTACAAGAAGAAAGTTCACCTGCAAATGAAGTATAAGAATAGGTAATGGAACTGTTGTAAACGATTATCTTTTGATTTTATCCTTATTACGTTTATCTGTTGCGCAGAATGGTTGTTTTTTACAAAGTGTACCAGTATCCGGATGTTGAAAGCTATCCGATTTTCTGCAATTACTGCTGTCACATGGCCATCTATTTTTAAAAGAATACTGTACCATTAATTTGCATGGCTTAATAAAACTGAGCCTGCAAACATTTCATAATTTTGCTGTTTTAGGGTGGTTCTGTTGGGTTTCAGGGTTTTTCCTATTTTAAGGGGGAAGTAAAATTTCATTGTTTACCTAAATTATGTTTGTTTCTTTCTATAATGTTTTTACATTTAGGTTTGATTACTTGTACTTAACTTTTCAATAATGATATTTTTTTTGTAAAATTTTACCAAGTTGTAAGGTCATCAAAAGCATTGTTAATGTTAATTTAGATTTCATATTTATTTAATAGAAACTGGGAATTTATCAATGTTATTGCATACAGATATCTTAGTATATTTATATTGATGAGACTTATTACATGTTAATGATTTCTGAATTTTTAAAGAGACAGTTATGTTCATTGTGATTAAAAGGGATTGAGGACCTTTTCATTCAAAGTTATAAATGTAGTCACCGAGTACTTGATTTGAAAATGTCCTTAAACTTGGATCAAGGCAAAATAAATTTTATAAAAGTCTAAAAAATCCATTTCAAATAGTTTCTTCTATTTTTTTTTTTCTAACATGTGTTTATAGTTTTGAAAAAGGAAGTTATTGTCTTATTATTTTAATGGAGGAAACAGAGGTCCTCAACCTCCAGGTCTCCTGATCAACCCCGACAACAGACATTACATAGCGTGGGTTGTTATTACCCTTGAATAAAATTTGTTGCACTTAAATTAAATGCGGGTGATTTTTGTGCCCATGAAGACCCAACATGAGTACAAAAGTAAACACGGCGCCAGAT